TATACATGATGGAATATTACACAGCCATAAAGAAGGACAAAATTATGAACTTCACAGCAATTTGGATGGACTTAGAGTCTATTAATACTCTGTGATATATCATGGAAACAAAGAACTGAGTACCACATATTCTCACTCGTAAGTGGACCTTGAACAATTACCTTAATACTTAATACTATACAAAAGGTATTGGCAGTATTGGGGAAACTGCTAGGGGAGCTGGGGGACACACCTCATCAACAAGGGTACCTGCATAATGACCATTTGTATACCTAACTCTGAATTGTACCCCACTTTGTTAAAATAAAATTTAAAAAAATTTTTTAGATCATTGTTTTTTCCTGAATGGGGATAAAATTGGTAATTTTGTTTATTATTTTAAAATTTGGCAACATATGGGCATTTTTATTGTTGTTGTTACAGCTTTGGAGAGGCCAAAGATACTGATGAAACCCTCCAATGCCTAGGGCAGCCCTCCACAACAAAGAATTTTCTGGCTTCAAATGTCAGTAGCTCTGAGGTTGCAAAACTGCTATAATCTTTCTGGGGGAATATTTTATTGATTTTCTTGTTCTTGTTGTTTTCCATTAATTCTCTGAGCTTTGCTTCTCTTGTGTTAGCATAATTTTCTCCATTGGCCACCTCAGGTCTAGCTACTTGTTGAAACGACTTCAGATATCTTATATGATCTGATTGGGAAAAATTTCAACTTGGAAAAACATCCTGTTTATTCTAGGCTTTTGACCTGATTCTTTGCCTAAAACCAAATCTGCATCTCTTAATGTTTTGTTCAACTCAGGGTCTCAGCTTCTTAGAAGTGAAAGACCAGCTGCTGCTCATGTACCTTATGGATTTGAGCTACCTCATCATGGATAAAGCCTCAGGAGGGTCTCTCCAGGGACATGCTGCAGTTTTGAGACTGGTGGAGATTCGCACGGTATGAAGCATTTGGCACCTTGGAGTTTTAGGTTTCTGAATCTTGGACTCCAAGGCTATTAAGCAGTCACTCTCGTTTAAGTAGTGTTCTCAAATGTAAGTAAGGAAACCAAATGAAAAAAAGTATTTTTCTCTTCATTTGCTCTACTTTGTTCACATTTTGATGTTTTATCTGGCACATTAACATAGGGACTCTGGTGTGTGCTGATTTTGGGAATGTAATGTAATCCTATTTAACTGCCACATTGTAGGTTTTGGAAAAGCTTCGTCCCTTGGACCAAAAACTGAAGTATCAAATTGACAAACTGGTCAAGACTGCAGTGACAGGAAGCCTTAGTAAGTTCAGGGACCATTATAAAGTTGTAAGACCATTATACAGTTCCATATTTTGTAAAATCTCTTTTTTATTTCAGGTGAGAATGACCCACTTCGCTTTAAGCCTCATCCCAGCAATATGATGAGCAAGGTAAGAGGTTGCATTATCTTCCTGATATTTCCTGAGGGAGTTATACCTAAATGAACTGCATGGTGATCTGGATTTTCAGGGATTCTCTTATGACTTGATTTTCCAGCTTGTGCTTTAGAGTGCTTGCGTATGAGAGTCCCTTTTCTCCCTTTAGTTTATATTCCCACCTCCCCAGGGTACTCCAGTGTTGGATCTTCTTCCGCTTGTCTGGCTAATGCTTTCTAAGTTTGCAGACATAATGTTCCCCTTGCAGTTGAACTCTGAGGATGAGGAAGAAGATGAAGCAGAGGATGGTCAGTCTGAGGTTTCAGGGAAGAAATCTGTTAAAGGAGTATCAAAGAAGTATGTTCCACCACGTTTGGTTCCAGTACATTATGGTATGAATTGTGGCTGCTGCCTCCTTAGCATGAATGACTTCTCCTTTTCTCTGTTCTGGATAACGCTGCTGATGTTTATCATATAGATGAAACAGAAGCTGAACGGGAGAAGAAGCGTCTGGAGCAAGCCAAGAGACGGGCATTGAGCAGCTCTGTCATTCGTGAACTTAAGGAGCAGTACTCAGATGCTCCAGAGGAAATCCGTGATGCTCGGCATCCTCATATTACTCGCCAGAGTCAGGAGGACCAACACAGGTCTGAGCCCTTGTATCAGAAATTATTTCTACACTGTGGACACCTGTCCTCATGCTTTGACTTAATGGAACTAAGTTTAGTACCAAGAGATCCAATGGAGTGGAGTGAAAAACTTGAGATGAAAGTTTCTAAGAATTAAGAGTTTGAAGTACAGAATAGGACCTAGAAAAAAGTACCCCTCCCTCTACTACCTAGGCTGAAGCAGAAGCTGAATGGAGAGGAGTATATGCAATTCCACATCGTAGGGCTTTAAAATTCTGTATTTCACTGTTACAGTTCTCATTTTTGTGTAGAAGGTAATAAAGGCTGATTTTTATAATGGCATTGAGAGTGCTAGATATGTTCAGGGAAAGAAAGAAGAAAAGCAGTTGTATCTTGAATACAGACTCATCAACCTTGCCCCAGTACAGTCTCTACTGTTGATTGATTTGTCTGAATGAGCCCATTTAGGGAATCTTGTTTACAGAGCTGAAATATAAGAATTTTTTGGCATGATATTTTAAATAGTACTCTGTATGAACTATGGATTCAGCTCTATGATGAGAGAAATTTTAACTCAGAGAACATGTCATTAAGGAAGCTCAGTATGTCTTTACTTAAATACTGTGTTGATTTGCTATGAAACTTCTTAACTCTGAACAAGGGGTGAGTAAATATCCAGGTTCTGGGCTGTAACTTTCCACTTCCATGGTATGAGCCTGCTAGAAACAATGTCTTTCTCTGGCAGGATTAACTATGAAGAAAGTATGATGGTGCGTTTGAGTGTCAGTAAGCGAGAGAAAGGACGGCGAAAGCGAGCAAATGTCATGAGTTCACAGCTTCATTCCCTTACACACTTCAGTGACATCAGTGCTTTGACAGGAGGAACTGCTCTTCTTGATGAGGTGAGATTGAGATACAGTAGTAGGTCATGCTTTTAACCAAATATATGTGGGACTTATTACAGTGAGGAACTTGGGCAGGGATGCTGACACTTTGAAGAGCACTGCCATTCCTTCCCTTTTTCATCTGTCTCCAGGACCAGAATCCTATTAAGAAGAGGAAGAAGATACTTAAGAAAGGTCATAAGAAAAAAGGTTAGTGAACCTGGGACTTAGGTGATTAAGGGCAAGGTGGGGAGTATGAATTGGGACTCTCAGGATTTGCCATCCTGGGTCTCATCAACCCCTGTTGTATCTCTTACCTACTGGGCAGTAATCTCCTTAAGTGGGCTTTTATTTTTCTTCTTTCCCAAGCTGAAAATCAGCATCATTCATAAAAGGAATCTCTAGATTCTATCTCTAAGGTCCCACAGTTCCTGTTTAGGCTTCCTTAAATGGAACTATACAAGTATCACTTGAGAGAACTGTTATCCCATTGCATTTTTATTCCTACTTCTAGGAAGATACAGAGAATACTGCCTAGGAGACCCACCACTTTTGAGCCCTTTTCTCTAGATATCCTTTTTTCCTATCCCTTCAGCTTTTCTAACTGTCCTTTGCCTCATTCTTGGTTTCCCTTCCTTCCAGGTTTTCGGAGGCGGCGGTGATTATGGGTGCACATAGTTATATATATTTTTTTGTCATCATGGGATACTTCTAACTTCATTGTGTATAGATTTTTTCCCCCTTGGAATTCATTGATTGTTTGCTTACTAATAAAATTAATTTAACTTACAAATTAAAGCCCCTTTTGCACATGTATTGTATGACTGGAATTACTGGGTGTGGGGCATTTTTGGTGAATGGGTGGTTAACAGGGAAAGATGAGATGTTTTGGAATTGTGGCTGTATAAAGTTTGGCTTATATAGTTGTCTTTAATAATATATTTTCCCCAGAAACTAGAAATTGGTTATTTTACAGAAAAATATTGGGCGATAATAGCGGTATAATCAACTCTTCCAATCCATGTTGACCCAGCTTCCTGTATGATTTGGGTAATACAGTACAGATATCTGAAACACATGGATTTTACGTTTTATTAATTTATCTGGCCTGGCCACCAGGTGGCATTAGTTGTTCAGGAAACCTTTGGAGCTTGTGTAGCATGAAAAGCAAGGTAGATCCTTTCCACATCAGCAAGAATTGTTATTGTCTCTACTTCTCTGAATGTTTTTCTTTTCTTTCTAAAATAGCATGAATGTAGGGCTGATCTTTGGTCAGTTACTGAGAGTTTGTAGAGTATAGTAGAGTGAATGAGAAGGCTAGACTAAAGAGTCAGTATAGTCTTGTTTTTCGACCTCTTTGACCCTCCTTCAACTAAGGTCTTGGCTTACTAGAGTCAGTAAGGGCCAGCCCTTTACAAAGAGCTTCCAAAAGAATGCCAATAGGCAGGCAGACTAAAAATTTTTTAGCTTAGGCCTGGCACTGTGGCTCACGCCTATAATAATCCCAACACTTTGGGAGGCTGAGGTGAGAGGATTGCCTGAGCTCACGGGTCCGAGACCAGCCTGGGCGACTTGGTGCAACCTCATCTCTACAATAAATTTTTAAAAAATTAGCTGGGTGTGGTGGCTTATGCCTGTAGTTTCAGCTACTAGGAAGGCTGAGGTGGAAGGATCACCTGAGCCCAGCAAGTCGAAGCTGTGGTGACTGTCAGCATGCTACTACACTCCAGCCTGGGTGACAGAGTGAAACTACAGTTCAAAAAAAAATTTTTTTTAACTTGACAGCCAAAAGAGTGAAAATCCCACAGAAATAACCCTCAAACCCACATCAGGACAATAGTGGGAATTACATATCTGAGCTCTATCCAGAGAATGACTTCTGTTGGTGAAAGATCCTGCAGGCTTTGGATAATATAGAGCATGAAAAGAGAGATAAAAAGAGATAGAAGTTGAGTCTGGAATTGATTCAGTGGAGTTTTAAAAAAGGCTTTAGGTCTCATGAACATGGGATTTTAGTGTCTAGCATTCCTGGGCAGTGTCATGGATAGAAATAAACTTTGGATCATTATATCACTGAAACCATGTTGATTCTGAATTCATGAATTTTCCTGATTGGACTATGAGTGTGTTTTTTGGTTTTATTCATATATATGGCCTGGTCAGGCCGCAGCCTGGTAGAAGGTAGTTAGATTGGACCTATGACTGTCTTCTGCTGTGATCTTGGACAAAGCACTTAACATCTCTGGCTATTAATTTTCCTTAGCTGAAAAATGAATGTTTTAGACTGAATCTCTGAGTTCCCTGCGAGCCAGAGAGCCTAGAACTTTTGTGAATGACAGATGGGCTTAATTCTGGAACTTCTAACTTTTAGTCCGTGGTATATCTGAGGAAGACTGAAATATCCCAGGCTCTATTTCTTGAAGTTAATCAAAACCAAGAGCCACAAGAAAAGATTAAGATTCCCCCCCCCCCCGCTTTCTGAACTAACAGGATGAGTGATTTCGCTCAAAAATGCTTTAGTTAGAACCACCTTATTTGCTTTTTAGGACCACTACATTTGTTTTTAGTTTATTAAGATTTTTGGATTATGAGACCTACCAGGAGAAGAAAGCCTTCTTTTCTTTCTTTTTTTTTTTAGATTTTGCTTTGTGTTACATGCTAAGCTAAGTGCTTTATTCTTAATCCTTACAAAATTGATGATGCCTCCATTTTGCTAGTGAGGCAGCTAAGACACTTATGGTAAGCAATTTGTCCAAGGTCAAATGGCTATTAAGTTGGAGAACTAGTGCCTGGGGTTCACTAAGGAAGAAGGACTTTAGGTGTCCTGTGGCTTATGAAAATCTTCAGGTTTTTTTTTTTAAGTTTTAATTAGTTGGTAGTTTATAACCTGTAACCAATCCCCCTCCACCCCCTTATTGCCTCATTCTGTTAGAGACCTAGCCTTCAAAGATACCACAGTTTCCACCATTCTGGCCTCTTGGTATAACAGTGAACATAGCAGACAAAATCCCTGCCTATGGGGACCTTATTTTCAGTCAAGTCTTTAATTACAGGGTATCTTGTTTTCCCTAGTCTTTAGACATTATCTGGAAAAGGTTTCTAACAAAAAGTTGAATTGTTTCTGCAAATTATTTGTACCGGAGTCTTCAAACACTTTATAGTGTATTGTTTGACAGAATTTCCCATGGATTCTCAATATGTAAGACAGTCATAAATGGGATTACTTTGATTAAAGTGGAGATGAGGGGTCTTGAAGTTCCGTGTTCTTATGACCCTGTTTCCCCAAGATTCCTCAGGAGCTCCAAGAGACCTTTAGCGTTCCATAGAACATAGTTTGAGAACCACTGTTAGGGTAGTAGAGCAAAGGAACTAAGAATTAGAATGTTAGGATTTCTTTATGGCTGTTTTGTTCATTTTTCTTTTTTCCTTATTCTTACTCATAGATTAAGTTCTCTGATCATTCAAATCACATGAATGTCAGATTTCCTCAGTGCAGTGCCTACAACAGATCATTTCTAGTGCTCACTAAGTAATGTTTGTCATTAGTGCACTCGAGCACCTGTTCAGTTTTATCATGTGGATGGTAAAAGAGTCTTGGCTTTATTCTGTACACGTAGACCAAGGCCTGCTTTTGCCTCAACAGCTTTGTTTTGTTAGGATTTTATAAAGGCTTGGGAAGGTTTTTTAGTGTTCACAACAGTCTTCATAAATACCTTATTAGAAAAAAAATGCTTTGTTCATGAGGAAGGGATGACCTGATTACAGTATGTTAGTTTTCAGCACCACGGAGAGCTCAAGCTCTCATTCCGTGTCTTGGGTTGGTAGCTAAACGGATCCATAAAGCTGCATGATACAGACCTTCCCTTTTCCACAGCCCAGTTTATTTGTCCAGTATCTAGTTCTGATGGGTACAGATTGGGTGAGAGTCAAACACATTCCTAAGTGTTTCCCATCCTCCCTGGAATCCTTTAGGTCTATAAACCCCAGACTCATGCCAAGGATTTGGCCAACTAGATAGAGGCATATGAGTGGAATCCTGCCTTCTCCACTAGTAACATCGTGCATATTATGATGCATGAGGTTTTTACCAGCCCTTGAGGAAAACTCTGTCCCCTACTCTTCTTTGCTTAGAGACCCTTGAGGAGACTTAAGGTTGCGTTTTCATTCCTTGGGCCTCTTTTTCTGCATCTGCATGGGGAAAGGCATCATTGCTCTGGCTCTGTGCCCAGTCTTGCTTTTGTATTTCTTTGATCTCATTGTTCAGAGGGTCTCAGAGAAGCCCCAAGAGCCATGCCTTTGCATGTTTAAGCTATTGATGCTTTTGAAATAACAGAGTGTTGCTGTGTAAGAAGTGTATTAAAGGTCTATCTTGAACAAATCTGGGTCAATAGGTGGCAGCAGTCACTGAGTCCTGGGGCCCTGACACCCCCTAAACAAGCACATTTGATGGCCATTATATTTAAAGAAGGATGTGAGAAAGGAGGTCACATTGAGATACAAAAATGGGGAGAAAAGCAATCCCTTTGGGTGGAATCCAGGAAAGGCTGAAATGTGCTGGATTACTTCTGTGAGAATGTTGTATAGGGGAACATTGCTGTCAGCTGGTGAAGGGCACTGGTAGGAAAGATCAGGGTCTCAGGGTTGGGGGAACAGACCTAAGATGTAGATACTCAGGCTTCTTCGAGCTAGAGTAAGCTGTGTTAAATGAGGACCAATGCTGACAGCACAGAGCAGGGTTGGAGGGAGTAGAGAGAGAGGTGGGGGAAGGAGGGGGCAGAACTGTGTGAAGGGACCATGGAAAGGGTGGGCTGTGAAGGAGAGGACTGCGGTTAGAGGGGGAGGGGAGGCTGCTGTAATACCGAGCCTATCTAATGGGGGATGGGAGGGGGAGGTGTTGGTCTGTGCTGCAGCTGCATTGGCTCCCCTCCCCCACACTTCCCAAGGAACTAGAGCAGTGCTGGCAAATCTGTCTTCATGTATTTATTATTATTAAAAATGTGACGGATCCTTCCTCCCTGGAAGCACAACAAATACTAGTGATCACATTTCCCTCTCCCCTCCCTCTGCAGAGCTTTTGCATTCTCTCTTTCATTCTCTCCACCCTGTCCTCTCCTACTTGGTCTGTTTGCTGGGGGGACCCTTCCTTTCCTTCTCGGAGCTTGGTGGCTCCCTGGGGGTTTTTAATGGTGGTTGGGAGTTTTTAGGCAATGCTGGGAGGAAGCAGCTGAGTGAGGGGCATTCATTGCCCCAGGGAGGGAGCTGTGCTCTCCTACATCCAGTGAGAAAAGGAAATCACTTGGAAATAATAATCAAAATCCTTTTTCCAGCTAATGAAAGGAGAAGCAGGCACTCACATTCCTTTCAGTACCTAGTGATCCTCCCTTTTCATACCCTTTTCTTTTCTACTGCCTGAATTCTAAGGGGGAAACCCCCTTGCAATGGAAAAAGCCAGGAGTTCTCTGTCTTTCCTCCCTTACCTTATTAAGTCCCTCTCTTCCCAGGAGAGCCATATACAATTTATTCTTCTAGCCTGTGTGTTGTGTAACTGAGAGGTTTGAAGGGCAGAAGCCATGGCTTCTCCCTCCCCACCTGCACCCCCTGACGCCCATGCAAAGGCAGGGGTCCTCTTTTGTTGCTGTCTGTAACTCTTCACCATGCCTATAGGTGGTGCTGCTGTTACTCTGCAGGCAGGGCCCTCCTCCCCAACATCGTTCCTTCCCACCCCGCCACCCCCCCTTCCCTAGCCCTCTACTGCCTGATTGTTATTCCACCAACGTCTCCTCTACTGTTCCTTTCCTCAAATTAATTTTGTGCCC